ATAAAAATCCGTTGGTCGGTTTTTACAGAGACAGCCTCTTAAATTGTAGTTTGATTCCTGTATTTTGTCTAAAACATCCCCCCTTCCCCCAACACAATGTTGTTGAACTATGTTTAAAATGACAGGAAAATTATGGCAACATTGGGTGGGGGAGAGGGGGGACACGTATGAAGTTATTTGATTGTATTTTCTTAAAATGTCGATCGATTTTATTGTTGGACTCCATTTTTTGCTCCAATATTAAAACTCGAATTCTATAAAAAACAAATGATACAATCAGGAACAATATGTTAGAAAAGCTGGCTTGTTTACATCACGCCTGCCCCATATTTCCTGTAGAGTCCTATTTTCCCGCAATTGGCGACAACAAAAGCAAAATACCACAGAATAAAGATCAGTAACAGAAGGGCCACTCAGCGGTGCAAAAATATGCAGTTTACTGGCCAGAAGGCAGAGCAGCCAGCGTGTTTATTGGCCAGAAATTGTCATTGACTAGCTAGGAAAATGGCGGCCAATATGCGTAATGCGACATGCGCGAGGACAGAAACTTCAAAGCTTCTGACATAAGTGGCCCTTCTATATGGATCTTCATTCTATGGCAAAATACCCCATTTTCAAACAATGATTACTCGTCGGTTTCAGGGACCTTTCTATGTTTTAAGGTACCAATAGAAAGAGTAACCCTTACTGAATACAATGATGGGAATTTTATTGAATTTCCCGATTTATAAACCATTTAACTCCCTGCATATTCATATCATGTGCACTATACCCGAAATATACCCCATTTTCAAACTGCGATAACTCGTCAGTTTGTGGGGATTTTTGTGTTTTGAAGTATCAATAGAAAGAATAAGCCTTCCTGCATTCGATGCTGTAAATGTTGTTGAATTTCCTGATTTAAAAAGCATTTAATCCCTGGTGAATATCAAAGCCACTTTTTTGACATATGCACTGACCCGAAACCACGTAGTTACTAGAACAAGGAATCACCTAAAACGACCTAAAACCATCTAAACGACCTAAAAAACCATCTAAAACGACCTAAAACCATCTAAAACAATCTACAACGACCAGTAAAACGATCTAAAACTATCTAAAACGACCAATAAAATTATCTAAAACGGTAAAACACACGTAGTAAAACTAACAAGATCACCTATTCCTATGGGGCTCCTTATTATAAACTCTTAGTTGTGTTGCATTTAAGGTGGCTCCATACAGTTTCTTGAAAAGCAGAAAACACACGTTTCTGATCCAAAATCTTAGTGTTCATTGATATTTTATTAGAGGAATGAAACTAAATGGAACAGCATTTCGATTTTTGAGAGTAGGAAACTGCAACAAAAAATGCGTAACCATGGTTGCTATGGCAACAATGACGTTTCAAAATGCCTGCTAATTTGCATTAAAATTAATTTAATTGAAAAATTTTGGATCTACAGAATTTTTTAAAAATTGTCCTGATGATTGCTCATACTGGAAAAAAAAGTTTTAATAAAATAAAAATTGGGGGTCACCGACGTTGTTTTTGAATTAAACTAGTTTAAATGCAAATTAGCAGCCATTTTTTGAAATGCCATTGTTGCCATAGTGACCACAATTACGGACTTTTCCGTTTATACAGTTTCTGATTTGCAAAATACTGTTGTATATACATGACATCTGGTTTCATTCTTCTATAAAAATATCAATGTACAAATTTTTTTGGTCTGAAATGTGTCTTTTCCACTTTTCAAGAAACAGTATGGAGCCACCTTAAATTGATTTAATTCTAAGTTGTGTTGGCACCAAGGTATTAGCCTGCATACCAAGATATAGTTCTATGACTATGGTTCTATGACAATATAGTTCTATCTCTATGGTTCTATGACTTTACAGTTGATTTCACGAAACTTTGGCGATAATTTGATGTGAAACTTCCGAATTTAATTGGCTGGTTTCCAATCAACTTGATGATCTCATGTTTATAGTTCCCAAATTCCCAACCAACCTCGCAATTGGTGTGGCCACAGTTTCATGAAATCAACTGTAACATTATAACATTTTTTGCTATTAGGTGGTTTTACGAGCTGTTGATATGCACATCTTTTTTAGGTAGCTTCATAATATCATTTTATCAGTCCTTGTAGATAGTTTCGGTCGTCTTAGATTGTTTTATTGGCCATTTTAGATCGTTTTATTGGCCATTTTAGATAGTTCTAGATCATTTTACTGGTTGTTGTAGGTCGTTTTAGATGGTTTTAGATGGTTTTAGATCATTTTACTGGTCGTTGTAGATCGTTTTAGATGGTTTTAGGTCGTTTTAGGTGATTCCTTGTTTTAGTAACTACGCCCGAAACCAAGGGTAATTCAATGCGTGTTAACTGAAACATGATATGAAATATTGAAATGTCCGATTGTTTTACACAGGTGTTGCTATCGTCTACATATCTTTTCCACCACCACACCGAAACGGGAGATGTTTGCAGGGCAGTTGTTTCTATTCTTTGCATGACCAATTCTGCAATTACTGCACTCACTGGCGAACCCATGGGACATCTGAATATTTGATGATAAAGACAATCCTCATAAATGAAATAACTGTTCTTCAAAACAAATTTTAGCAAACCATAGATATGATCTGCAGATAAGCCAGTATGTTGTGTCCAAATCATTGTATTATTTAGCTCTTCCTTAACAATCTGAAGTGCCAAATCTTGTTACGCCGAATGAGACGATACGTTCATTAAGTTCAATTTTTTGATTGAAAATAAAACTGGCAAATTCTTTAGAGTTCCTAACTGTGTAAACATCATAAACATCGTCTCATTATCTTAACAGATAATGAGTACAAAAAAACTGAGACCATTCGATTCCTACCTGGCGGCGTTTTACAGTTTGCCAAAGATACACAAGGTTCCCCTAGTTGAGCAAAATGATCATTGTACAATAGAAGCAGAGACAGAAGTTCCTCTTAGACCAATAAATAGTTCAATTGGGTCTCCAACATATGAAATTTCCAAATATTTGGCAAACATTCTAAAATACTTGTACAATGATGTTTACACAGTTAGGAACTCTAAAGAATTTGCCAGTTTTATTTTCAATAAAAAAATTGAGCCTAATGAACGTATAATCTCATTCGACGTAACATCTTTATTTACATCTATACCTGTTGATTTGGCACTCCAGATTGTAAAGGAAGAGCTAAACAATACAACGATTTGGACACAACATGCTGGCTTATCTGCAGATCATAATGGTTTGCTAAAATTTGTTTTGAACAACAGTTATTTCATTTATGAGGATTGTCATTATCATCAAATATTCGGATGTCCCATGGGTTTGCCAGTGAGTGCGGTAATTGCAGAATTATTCATGCAAATAGAAATAACTGCCCTGCAAACATCTCCCGTTTGGGTGCGGCGGTGGAAAAGATATGTAGATGATAGCAACGCCTGCGTAAAACAATCGGACATTTCAATATTTCACAATCATCTAAATTCTATCAACCCACAATTCACTCTTCAAATGCCTGTTGTTAAACCAACCCATAGCATGACGAAGACAACAACATTAACTACAGAACCTGACTCAGAGGTTCTCACATTGGGTGCTGTTAAAGAACCAATTCAAGTTCGAGAAAATATGCTCAAGGCTTTATTTGAAGCGAAGATGACCACTGTCAATAAGCGAATAGACAGCTTAATCACAACCGTGACTGAGTTAAAAGCAAGTCTAGAGTTCACATAAAAAGATGTGCAAGAAATAAAACCGAATATGGAAAAGCTAGTGGCAATCGAACAAGATATTTCAGACACGAAGATAATGTTGGATCAACAGAAAAACGAAACTGAATATTTGAAAAACCAAAGTCAAAGGAATAATTTACACTTGCATGGGTGGTATTCCTGAAGTTCACGGCGAGACTTGGGAAGTTACTGAATCGTTTGTCAAAGATGCCCTAAAGGACAAACTAGAAATTACAGAAGACATTTGTATAGAGTGAGCTCATCATGTAGAAAGAAGGGCGAGACTAGGCTCCTCAGCTTCTGCCACATCAATTGTCATGCCTTCCTTCTCAGTTGATGGAGCAGTTAGGTCGGTTATTGTAACTTATAAGCAGGTGGTGGAAAGATACAAGTTGTCATCTGAAGGAAATACCTAAGTATCTTTATCCCTTAGGGTCCTAAGTGATTAGCAAAAATATGTAAAAGGTTATTAATATAATCTCTTTTCATGCGGTTCAAATCAGTCGTATTTCATGTGGTTCAAATCAGTCGCATTCAATTTCAATCCACTGCCAAGTTAACACCACTGTGGCAAAATCTCAAGTTATTAATTACCCACCTCCTCCCCATGTCTGCATCTATTTGATATAATTGTTTATTGCCTAGAATATTGTAAGTAATGGCGTACGTTTTCCCAAACCTTTATAAATTACTCTAAATTGAGGACATGAAAAACCTAAAACATCAGATATAAATCGCCAATTCTCAATTTTTGACAATACGGTCATTGACAATACTAATTTAAAACCTCAATTTCTACATTTGGGTCCTGTCAGCATAATAGAAACACACCATTTTTTGTTGAATACTGCAAACCTCCAAATATATGGCTGGGTCACCTTATGCTTTCCATATGAGAAATTTGTGTATTATACAGTAGGTCTGTACACTTATAGATATAGATATATATATATATATATATATATATATATATATATATATATATATACACTGGATCCAGAAAAGTTTGACCTTCGAATATATATATATGTCGGCCATTTTGAATTTTCTTGGGTTAATTATACGCGAACGCATACATCAAAGGTCGCTCGCAACGTATTGTATATTGCAATATTATTCCAACAGCTCAAATGAATAAAAGAATCATTGATTGATGTCTTTGCACATAATCATAATGGCTAGTAGGAAATGAACATTTGGAAATGAACATAATGGCTAGTAGGAAATGAACGTTTCTGCTTCGCCAGGTCACGAATGCTGCGTGTG